CTTCGTGATGAGTTATTCACTCACTCCTGTGTATAAGATACTTGGGGATTCAGATTAGTTAGAGTAAATTAAATTCAGACTAGATCAGGAATTGCCAGCCAGGTTATAGAATCTTACAATGGGATTTCAATTAGATTGATTGGTGAATAAGCATCAAGCATTTTATTGTGATTGTGATGCAGCCTATTCGGGGTATCGGAATGACTCGAATTTGCAGAGGAACAACACACTAGCCCCCCCCCTACTCTGCTAAACCAGACACCGATCGAGTAAGATCAAAGTAATAATGTAACGTCATTAGAAATTCAACCATAAATGACCTCATGCCTGTAGGGTTTCAACTATTTACCCGATAACGAAATAACAGACAACATATGGCTTCATTTAATCCGTGTAGAAATGAATAAATCTCTGGAAATGCAAACAATATGGTTTTGTCATTTTCATCTCCTTTGAATCCTTGAAAGAAACATTCAACCAAATGGGAATTAAATTAATGTTACAGATCCATCCAGTTTCTATTTTATGACTGGCGGTGCATGCTGCGTTCAAACCTCCGCGGTCAACGATCTGGAATGTAATGTTTTTTAGAGATATCATAACGTTCATTATACACATTTTAATTGTGAACTAGAACGATGAGTGAATAGATTGTTCTCGATTGGATAGTATGTTTTTCGATACGGTGTTTAAGATCTGGAGTCGTAGTTGTCATCATCATGAGTAGAAATAGTTTTAGCGGTCACGGTATCAGATCCAAATTTGGAGAGGATGTCCTTGAAAAAATTGTGCTTCGTGCTCATAGTATTAGGTCCTTAAAGGAGAAAATCAAATGAAGAAAGTTTCAACTCTCTTGGTTTTCTCTTTGGTTCTCTCTTTGCTTTTCTCTCACTATGGCTAATCCAAACATTCCTATAAGGATCTAATAGTTTTAGCGTTCACTTGGAATATTAGGTTAGGTTAACGTGCTTACAAATCGTCAACATTCTAACAGTATGCTGATCATAGATTTCCGGTATCCTGAACTAGAGCATTCAACAATTCAATAACGATTATCTGCTATTAGAGTTTAAAGCAAACGGAATTTCCTAACCTATTTCAAACGCTCAAGAAGTGGAGTGAAGTTTTACATCTAAAGGCCAAATGCGGCTGTAAATCGAAATTACTAAGAATCCTTGATTATCGAAATCTTTGTCATATTCAAACCTCAATGTCGTACTAAATAGTTCTCAGGAACTGGCAACAGCGTATAATAAACAGAAATGTGTGGTTTGCCATCTGAAAATGCGAAGAACATAAATCGGAACCAAAAGTTTAGCATCTTGAAGTGGGAACAACATCCGTTTTTCGAACGGATGAAAATCATTCACTGGTTTTAGTGTTAGTTCATATTTACCGAACGATCTAATTCGGTCTAACTTGTTACTTTTCACTATTCATTTAAGTGGAAGAAGCATTCACACTTTTACTGTAATGCAAAATCTCGCAATATCGATGTCACATCTAATTTCGTTTTGTTGAAGGATGAGGAAATATAGACATTGAACCGGCTGATGAGTGTTAGAAACACCTACCTGGTCTCTACCTCGCGACCATTAGCTCGCTTAAGATTGAAAGCCATTGGGCCTGGGAACAAGGAGGATTTCACCGTCCTAAACTTTCCGACTATATGGCACACGTGCACATCCGGTCGATCTGAAAACCTCACAACCAAAGTCAATAAATCACCTGACCTCGGCCTCGATTTTGTCCCGAGACAAGTGCTTTCCCGGACTGACTGCCTCTAAGCGAATGGAGATAGATTGTGGAATCTGCATGCTTGTTGCTGGCGGCAGCGTCGGCAACAGCGGGTTGAGGTGCTGTGTGTTGTTGTTATGTGTGTGATGCTAGAAGCATGGCTAATCACCGTAAGTTGCCCCAACTTGCTGCCATTCGATCGATGTGGTTTCCATCCGCGGTCCATGGCACGTGGTAATTTGTTACAGAACCGCGAAACAATGATCAAAGAGTGCTATTCCAAACATAGGTAACTGAGACACTTTTAGAAAATGAGAAACCAATCCTTGTGTTGGAGAGAGGGAATTGATTTACATTGAGATTCCAAGACAACAAATTGTGTCGATCACTGCCTTCGTTGTGAATGTGACTGTGAAACCGATGACTAAATGTCTCGTCACTGTCAGACAATAAACCTGAAACCCTTTCATTTTTACATTTGGGATTATTCGAAAACCCAGAGGCCATTTTTTGCTGAAAACAATGACCAAATCCTCTCACACAATTTACTGATTCTTATTGGTTCATTTACCTTGTGAAGAAAATGAGGTATCGTTTAAGTAATTGTCTACCTTACACAACCAAGTAAACGCTAAGCTTACAGATAGCAGGAATTTACACTATAAATTATCATGATTTGTTCAGTTTATTAACAGTTATACATAGGTCGTTTCCAAAACTCACCGAGAATAACACAATGTGTTAATCGAACTGGTTTTTATCCCGTTTACAAAAAATACTATAAAGAACAGTAAACTGTCGAATGCTAGCCACGACCGAATTCGTTACTTTCGCATCTCCTATCCAGTGTGTTTAGGCGCAATTTGTGCACATATTTTAAGTCCCTGGTCGTCTGGATCTCGCTAACAAATGCGCAGGCACGACGTCATTTGCCACTGATAAATTTCTGGTCTACACACACACACGAGCGGATTCAGATGTGAGGCATTATGACCGTAACCCATAGTTCACGCTCTCATAGAGTTTGTGTATCCAGTGTTACATCTTAGTATAAAATAGAAAAACTGAAAAAAGCTTATATTCCATGTTGTACTGTTCTCAATGTAGTACTTAATGTTTCTCCATTGTTTCTGATGTAAATGCGTTCACCATGAAGGTTTTGGACAGTTTTTTTGACTCATTTTTCGCGTTGCAGCTTACTTGCTCAGATTAAGCTACTCGGATGCATATCGTTCTAGTCTGGGCCTTGTGTGTATGCGGGTCTTCTGTAAAACATATAAGGGAAGTTCTCGGTGGCTCTAGATATCATCACTATGCCCTTGCATTCGAAAACCTTTAGATTCATTTGATATCAGCAATTAGGCTTGCTATTATGTTGTTACTTTGGGCAATCCAGTGTTTACTCTAGATCTAATCAAGATTATTGTGAAATGTTCTTTGGCTGTTTGTTTTTACATCGTCTCCTCGATCATTCGGGTTTGCGTTCCAGTGGGGTTTTTATTCGGGCAGAAGAAAATTGTGATACACAAATATACTGGTTGCTGGGTCGGATTATGTTAGAGATTTTTGTTGCACATATTCAAAAGACCGAAGGAAGCTATACTTCAATTTCAATAATTCGGCAGGTCAAAGGTTTTGCTCGAAAATAAAATACCTGGAGACAAAGCCATATACCTATCCTTTCTGATTAGAGCATTGCTAAATTTTAAGTTCGAGATGAGTGTAGCTATTCAGTATTTGCTGTAAGCTTAAGAAAACATTAATTAACTTAATTCTTCCGAGCAATCAGCAAGCGGTATAGTATATTCGTTAAATGCATTTTGGTTTATTTCTCACTCAAATAAATGGGATAAATTTGAACAGACAATATATGATGTACAAAAAATGTTAATATCGTGGAAACATTCTACTCTGAAAAATAAGTGGAAAATTTTAGTGAAACTATACAATTATCTGCCAGACATCTGGTGATATTATAATAGCGACAAGTGCATTTCCCGTTTTGAACTGTGTTGCTATCGTTAATCCAATAAATCCTCGACGGTAATTAGCATTATATTTTCAGTCATTAGAGAAATCCGCCGAAATCCCTATGAAACCTTAAATTAAACCGAAATGGATAAAAGCGTGAGAACCGCTTAGTACATCAAGGACCCTAGAGTACTTCATTTAACTTTTATGCAATGTCACTTATAAAATTTTTATTTTGAATTCGAGGAAAATGAGGTTTATTTTAACCGGATGAGTGTAACAGACTTATCCTGACTTTTAGCTATTTCCGTATATCGCGCCTATTCAATTGATAAGCTGCTTATCTCGTCATCACTGAGTTTCTTCTGTTTTATCCAATCTTTTTTGGCTGTGCACATTACTCCTCTAATAAAGAAGTTCTCCGTAGTTCGTTTAATCAAACGAATTTATTTTGGTGACAATAAAGTCACTGAGCTTCGTTTCAACACGACCAGGCAACACTAGAACCGATTTATTTGTATATGCTAATTGACATTTATTTTGTACACAAATTGTCAGAATAGGTTCACTTTTCAAGCCCCAACATTCAGCCCAGCAAAATGCGTTTCTTCTTGACCTAGCGGAAACAGTAACCGGTTCTGGTATTGACCAAATGTAGCACAAACACGTATGGCATATGGTTCGTTGATTCTGCTTCAACACTCTCCAGTAAGTGTGTATGAAGATCAAGTGAGTTAGCAATTCGGCATCGATTTCTATCGCGACCATCCTTTCCTCCCCCTCCCTTCGGGACTCGTGTGAATGACTGCAAACATACTAACGGCGATTTACTTGCCTTATCAGCTTTTTGTCTTGAATGTGATATTGAGAATCAACCTCACTGAAGCGTAACAGCAAGGAAGTCGACTAGTTGGCCTGACGGCAGTTACCAGTGCTCTCTCTCCTTGTTTCTAATGCTTGCACCCAAGAATAAATTACTTATTATGGTTGAATAGGTTTAAAGTGGATATAATCGTTTGGCTTGAACTTGTAATTGTTATCAGGCTAGCAACCGATGAGAAAACCCGCGAACGTCTAAACCGTGATTCAACTATTATTTTGACCGCTTGGCTGAGTTCATGCATGAAAGTGGTATGCGCTAAAACCTGCACTGACAAAAATATCTATAAAAGTTCATCTCAAACCTTTAAGGGAAATAAAAGGTTGGCATTATGTGCTGTAACTAACTGTGAAATTAGTGTGAAGCAACGATCAATCGGTGCAAGCAAAATATTCTGATAAAACAAATCTTTTCAGCTTACTTGACGCTCTGTCAGGTGAAGTTTGCAGGAGATTTCCCACCGCTTCTGTCGCGTGATGTACGCGTTTCCAATGAATTCGTTTTCCAGTACCATAGTTTGGTATCGTGTGTACGGTTTACGCTTCTTCCGTGATCGCGTTTCTGAGGTAATAAGTTAGAACAGGATTTTTCTGAATATATTTCATATGAAGAGTTTTTCAACTGATATTGACCAACTATCGGGGTAACTTATTATGACAGTTCCTCAACATTAGCTGTGACGCAAAAAGCTATAATTTAAACAGTCATTCAGAATTTATCGCGGAATAAGCGGGGTCAAAAGTAACGTAAAGTAAATTCTTTGACTTAACACACATCATAATCATACTTTCCGAGTGCGATTAGAAAGTCTGGGACCAGGACCAGGGCCTTGTTTACCATAGTTGATCATCTGTAGCCAACAAAATTATATCTTTTACTTCTCTACCCAAAGCGAATCTAATTTGTCTAGCATTTACTTTGTAATAAATATAGTGAGTATGAAAAGTGGTTGTTGGAGGCAGTGGTGTGAAAAAACATAATCGTGAGCAAATACTCGTTTTTCATACGGCATGGTGTATTTGAGTAACCGTGGTATATAAAGTTTCATAAAAAATATCACCGAGAAATCATTTTGTAGGCTGAAGTATCTAACAGTAACGATAGATTCCACATTCATAGTTTGAGCTGTTTCTGTAATGCCTGCTTTTGATGATTGTTTGCTCATTAAGTATGCCGATAATATTGTGAATGGCATGAAGTTTTTGAGTTCTTCCGAGTACCCCAAACTTATGCGGAATATTTCACTGCTCATCGACTGGTCTTCACAACACGACCGTAGAATCATTCCAAGTGCAATGTTTTGTTTGTTTGTTTTCTTTGCTGAAGGCTGACCAATACATGGATGTGATGAACTCTGATTAGCATTTAATTACCAATGAAGAACAAGTTTCCAGAGCATGCTCCGTCGAATATCTTGGAGTCTCCATTTCCCGCAATCTTTCTTGGTCTCCTCATTATATTATTTGCATCATTCGTTTGAAAATGCTATCTACTCCAACTCACTTATTAAAGCGTTTTGTTTTTATCTTGTATCATTCCCCACTGGCGTTGTACATCCCCAGTTATTTTTCCGGGTCTGTTAACCAAAGACTTCAAACTCACACGCACACCCAACAAACACGAATGTCAATACAGTCGCATATCTCGTGAGCATGTTCTGCAGTTTAGTATTTAAAAGCACTTTAGGGCTTCCCAAAATGTTTGTTTGTATATGTAGTGTATTATCATCCTTTTTTACCATGCAATTTCCACAGAAGAGTGGTTGTGCAGTAGCTGGTAGCTAATGCCCCATCAGATGAATTAAAGCAGCTTCTTGACTTGAATTGACTTACCCCTATCACAGTTTTGTCCAATTTGCAACCCGGTTTTAAAAGTTCTTTTTAATTAATCAGCTCGAACGTGTAAGTGTTTCTATCCTATCTCATCTGGTGTATCAACGACATGGGGTAAACTGTATTTGGCTTGCTGCCAGAAAAAAAATCTTTTAATCCTAAAACAATTTTTGGTTCTTTATTGTTGCATTTCGGTGGTGTTTCAAACGCGGCATCCACATTTTGTCCAACGAACTCGGTTTCAAATATACAGCTCACAATATGAGAGCAATATCGCAAGTTCGCTAATTCACAAGAATGAGATCGTAATCGACTTGAATGCAATACGACGTTCATCCTATATTCCTAGCGAAGAGAAATATGCATCACTCCTTTAAAAAAAATAAAAAATGGCTGACTACTGCCGTTAGGGCTCCATACTATGTGCTAGAAAAGTCACGGTACAATAGTCTTTGTAAAGAGAAAACGTTCAACGATTTTTTTCTATAGAGAGCGATATAAACACTCTAACTAGAGGAAAATAAAACGGTGGTTAGCTCCGTGGACGTTTGTTTACCTGTGACAACTAACCGAGTGGTACAATACTGTGAAACAAAATTGTAATTTTAAGAGAACAACTACCATCAGCAGTAACAAAATCTCAAGCCCAATCATTCTTTCCTACTAAAACTGTTTGTCATCACTTTTATTAAGAAGTTTTGGGGTCTGTACAGAAAGACATTGAGTACAATTACACATATACAAACCTCTTAAATACAAATTCAGCCTAAAGGTGATCGGGGCATCAGTTGAAGAACTCGGGGAATCAAAATCAACTCGCACCGTTAAAGCAGATTATTAAAGCGCCAGTGAAATTGTACTTTCCACCGGTTGTGTTGGTGCTACGTTTGCAAGTTACGATTTTATAAGAGAAAAAAGGAAATACATATTTCTTTTGATTAATTCTAGGTCAATTAATTTCTTACTCTAGCGAATGTTAACATAAAGGGGCCCATTCGGGGCTATTCCTCGTCCGGTAAAGATAAACCACCTGAGTATTATGCTGCTGCATCATTGCAGCCGGCATGTTGTATAGCAGTTGGTTGAGCATAGTTAATAGTATTGCTCGTTTTTAAGAAGCGAAGTTCTACCATAAAAACACGATACAACTGAACATGTATCAAGATTGTCAATCATAAAATGTGGCTCATAATTGTCATTACCTTCTTGGTGCGAGATTTCACTCTCAGATCTGTTTAAAAGTCACGTGATACAGTCAGTTGTGCAGCTGGGAAGTGCTCTATCTTACCCGTGTATTGCTAAAGAGTTGAAGCTTCCGGAACATCTGAGAGCAGTAGCGAGAAGTCAATCGTGAAAAATCACTGTATACTTAAACGCTAAACCATAATCGTCTTTTACGAACAGCTATTTGTTTTCCTTTCCGGAACCTGAACAGTAAAACCAAAAATAATGATAGCCGCTTATCCCTTGGGAACTCTCGCTTCATCCGGGACTTGGTAAATCATTTCAGTGAGAAATGGCAGCAATTTCCATTTTGTTGTATACGATACAATTCAACCGATATAGGAGAACAATTCGTGCAAGTTGTGCTAAATAACGCACCCCAAATGTGAGACTGAGGGTTATGGGCAAGCTCACATCACAATAATAGGACCCTGTGATTATTGTTGTTACCGGCTTAATTGATTAATTGCTCTTATGGAGGGTATGTCAGTTGAAATATGAGCGATGCGAATGCACGAAACTTCGATGAATTTCACCCAATTCAACGTTTTCCTTACCGAAAATCCGTGAGTTTGTCTTTTTTCTATGGATCTTCTTCTGTATGTGAGCACCACGGGTACATGGAAAACAATGTTCTTTATAGACTATAGACTATATAGATCTATAATGACCGTCATCTACGATCGCCTCAACTCATTCACATTCAAAACATGCACATAATTACTCATGCATTCCACTAAACGTTGTTACAAAATAGGTTTCTGGGGATTAGTGCTGATGCTTGAGGTTCTTTTATATTTTCCGACCTACAAAAACATAGTCCGATTAATGTATTCATATTCGAGGAAAAGCTGTTAGGATAAAATATATCATACCATACCATATGGTCGCAGACTTACCTCCATTACTGGTTTCTACTTCTGATGGATATTCCTCACATAATGCTCCACGGCCAGTGTCGAATGAATAAGAGGTCAACGAGTGCGGATGTATCATGGTAGGTGAATTGCGTGCTCCAGACAGGGGGGTTGTTAATACATGGACAACGGGATGATCTGAATGCATTGATGGTGCGGATCCTGAACTGACTGTAGCTGCGCTGAGTAAGCTAGGCAAGGTGGGTAGTCGGAGAGGGAACGGTGGTGATAATGGGCCACCACCTGGTGTTGACATACCATTTCCGCCGCAACATACGTAGGCAGAATGTGGAGGCGGGATCATAGCCAAACTTAATGGAAGTGATTCCGATGGAGGGATAGACAATGAAGCTTGGTCAAAAGCGTTGACGGCTGCGGCTGCTGCCACTGCAGCTGCTGCCGCCGCCGCTGCAGCAGCGGCAGCAGTTGCTGATGACGAATTAGGAGGAGCAGGTGTTGAGGCAGTGCACACAGAGGATACCGATAAAGACGCATTTCCTAGCATTGTTGGGCTACCTGATGATCCGGGTGAACTTTGAAAACTCTCTGATCCAGGAAAATTAAACTGCAAAATATTCAGTTCGGTTTTGTTTGAATCAGGGTAGCTTGTTGGGAGGCGGCTAAGGAGCCCTAATTGATGCTGTTGTTGGGGGTGTCGTTGTATTGGGTGTAGAGATTGTTGCAGCTGTTGAGGTGTCGTTAGTTTTAATGATGGATGTTGGGCATAGTTTGTTAGAAAGCTGCTGGAAATAGAATCAGGTTCGAGAAATTCGAGATTTGGATCCGACGGAGGATAGTACTCGTGAGGAGGTTCGGGGCACTTCAAATTCTCGGGTCTTGTTTCATTAACCGTTGTGACAGTTTCGTTGGTCGAAATAGAAGCTGGCACCCCACCAGTTATTGAAGTTGAATTCGAAAATCGGGTTAAAGGAGGAGAAAGGCCAATACCAGGGGTAGTAATTTTCACACATTTTTGGTTATTGCAACTACCACTGGAGGGAATCGCTATTCGTTCAGTTGTGATGGAACACGAAGGAATGGATGATCCTGAGGAGGAGCACAATGAGTGGATTGATGCGACTTCAACAGTTGAGGCGGGGATCGTGATATTTGGGGATGGTATAGTCCGATCTGCCCGAGGTTTTGTTACCAAATAATCTGTGCTAACGATGGATGACGATGCACAAGAGACAGTTATCGGTGAGCGCATGAGAAATTGTGGTTTCAAAGTATCAACTGAAAATTGAATGTCCGCTGGTAACTTGGGTGGATCCACCACTGGACAATGATCGACGACCAAAGAATTTTTATTTTCCACGGGATCTGATGCATGTAAAAGAATATTATGCTCGACGTCTGGGCCTACTCTGGTGTAGCCCTCGGACTGTTGGAAAGGATGTGTTTCTGTACTTGATTCCAAACATCTGGACCCGCTTAATTCGGTCCTAATTCCAGTCGGTTGCGCGTCAATAGTCAATGAGGAGGGTGAGTCTTGATCCAATTTTCGTTCAGATAATCCATTCAGTGAATTCGTTTCAACG